AAGTCAAAAATAACAAACAGCTAGGATGGACGGGAATGCAAAACACGAAGTGACGAAGTGGTACGGGTACACGTACTAAGTACAGTACGGCAACGTTCGTGTCTGGCGGGTGTGAACTGATCCCGGAGGGAANTCGGGTACCCCCCGTCCACGATGATCCACGCCCCTGTGTACTCCGTCTCTGTGCCGTCGGCGTTGTAGAGCTTGAACTTGTATCATAGCTCTTCCACGGCTCCTCATCTCGTATTCGCCAGATGGACTTGTCCCGTGCGATGACCGTCTGGTCGTTCTCGGCTCCCGGGTAAGTCTTGGTTGCCGCGATGATGCGGCCAGAATGGTCACACGTGCACTCCACCACCAGCGACGTGTAACCCTCCTTGCCGGTGTGGGTGCTCTTCTCGGAGAACAGGCAGCCCGACCAACGGAAGTGGGTGCAGTCCGTAGATCACGTCGCCCCCGGGTACCCACACTTGCGGTAGATCTCCTCGACCTTCTTGAGTTCATCCCCGCGCGGGAGTTTCACCCAAGTGTCCCAGAGGCCCTCAGAAAACTTCTCGCAGAAATGGTGGAAAGAAGTCTCTGCGGTCGTGCGGCTCATCAGGGAGAAGGAAGCGACGTCCTGGAAGCAGCATCCCGACGCCAACACCTTCAAAGTACTCAGCACCTATGAATTATACAGCAGTGCAGGGGGCACACACAAAGGCGGGCGGCGGCGGCGGCGGCGGGTTGTAAGCTGTCGTGCGAAGGGAATGTATACTCTGTTACCAAGCTGTGGCTCCAATGTATACTCTTGTATCATCGAGAGAGTTGCAGAGCTTTGCGGGAGACGACGAGTGGGCAAGTACAGCAGTAGGGGTGTGCCGGTGTGTTGAGGATTTTTTGCAGCAGAGTGCGTACCATTTTGACGGTCTTGGCTTGCTGCTGCAGCTCCGCGCACGTGTGTTACCTCGAGGGCGTCACACCCCTGCCATGCGAAGGGAATGCATACTCTTCTACCAAGCTGTGGCTCGCTCGTGGAACGAACACAAAGTGCAATCCCTCGCACATCCATCGGCATTGTTGAATGTAATACTGCTGCTTCATCATACTTGCACGGGCTACTTTTCGAGAGTATCGACACCGAGTGTGACACCTCGGCCAGCAGCGCCGTGCAGACGTAGTTGGAGCGGGAGCGCGCTTCTTTATCATCTACAGCATGTGGTCGAAAATTGCAAACATGGTGTCCTCTCGGTACAGACACGACGCGGTTCGTTTGTGCACGCAGCAGCAGAGTACGTACCCTTTTTGCGATATTTGCTTACTGCTCAACTCCGCGCACGTGCGCTACTTCGAGGGCGTGCTACTTCGAGGGTGTAACAGCCGGTGAGCTTAGGTACAAGTTCAGCAGTATACTTGTAACAGTATACACATTGGTCTGTTCCTCTAGACAGAGGGCACCGATTATCCAGCAGCGCTGACGTGCACTTGAAGTAAAAAATACAGCGGGCGGTGGTTGTGAACTTCTCGACCAAAATACAACAGCGCGCTGCAGCTTCTCACCGAGCAGCATACAGAAGTCACTTCAACAGCAGCCTACATCAGCCTTCACACCTTCAGTTCCACGGGTGGGCAATCCCTGCCCGCGACGTCTCTGGTTGAAGACGGGACGATGGAGGTGACCGTCTGCATGATGCGCTCGAACAACACGAAAAGGATGCGGAAGGTGCCGGCAAACTGCACAGCTTCTCGACATTCCGGGTCCAGTCCCTCCTCCGCAGCATTCAGCTCTCGCAGCTTCAGTACCCACTTCCCCCAAGTTGACCGCCAGTATTCCGGGCGAGGGTAGGAGCGCCGGACGTGCTTCTCGCGCTCCTCCTCCTCCTCCTCCTCCTCCATCAGCAGATCGCCGAACAAACCACCCGGTTCTTGGTCATCTTGCTCATCATCGGAGTCGAACGTGTGCATAATGTTCTGCAAACTCGATGCTGCGGCAGCAGCCCCGGCTATTATGGACTCCTCATCCATGTTGGGCGTGGCCTTCTCGTCGGCGCGGCCTTCTCATGCGTGTGCGTGTAGGTGTGTTCGTGTATTCTTGTGTTGTTGGGGTGTGTTCGTGTGTGTCGGCGGCGTATGTGCCGAAAATGCGGTGCTACTTGCCTTTTCCGCCGCCCAAACATTTTCGCGACCTGCCCCATTTCAAAATGTTTGTCAAACATTTTGTCAAACGAGCGACTTTTGCCCCATTTCAAAATCTTTGAGAATATTTTGCCGAAGATTTTCTCCCATAAAAAGTGAAACAAAATCTTTATCCGCAAATGTTTGGAAATTTAGACATTTTTGCAAAGATTTGGTGACCATAAACATGGGCCTTGGCAATGATTCGTCACTAATGTAAAAAAGAAAGCGCTGTCATTGGCATCTCAGCTACTGCCCAACAAGGTAACATGCGCAACAATTCCATCTAGTTCCAGAAGTTCGGACAATCACGCACAACTACTGCTGTAGGTAATCGCGCTGCATCTCTTCATGTCCAGGGGAAACAGCACAAAGCAAACGACGCAAGCTGAAACACAGCAACAAGTATCGGACATGTGTGCTTCGTTCACACAGCAATGATTATGGTACAAATAAAAAAAATGGCAACGGCAACCGCAACCAGAGATGGGGGGGTGGTGCCGAGAAACGACAGCCCGTCCGATTCTTCCGATGCTGCAAAAAGGGGCACCGGATCGCAGACTGCCACAGCAAAGGAAGGCAGCATCGCTAGGTGCGAGGTTTGCAAGGGATTCGTTCAAAGAAAAGAGCCTGTGCCGGAAACCATGCCGGGAAGATCTGTGAGGGTGAGCTCTGGCAACACTCGGAGGTGCCGCGAATTTTATGCATCGCGTGTGTTTTCCAACTCGCGAAGTGGTCCGTTTTGACGTTGACATTGTACCGCTGGCTCGGTGGGCACATTCAGACCATACCTGTCGGCGGAAGTCCACCGCTCGCTGGTTGACAGCAGGGGTATTCCCGCTGCTGCTCCCGCCTGATCTAGATGCTCCCGTCGACATCGTCTACTGCTGCTGTACTGCTGTTGCCTTGTTGGTTTCAAACCAGGCCTGCACGCATGAAGATCAGCTTGATCTCAGGAGGATTCAACGGTGCAGCTGCACCAAGGACTCTATACAAACTGAATTCACACTGATCAGATAGGGACGGTGCTGGAGGCTGAGAAAGCGGGCCTGCTGAGTGGCAGTCTACTTGTAGCTGAGTGTGAGTAGGGGCAGCAACGTCCGGGGGCCAACAATTGGGATCCATCGGGGACGTGGGGGGGGTGTCTCGCCCGTTTCACAGTCCTGTGGCGGTGGACGCCGACAACTCGGCGGCGCATGTCGACAGCAACGGGGACGAAAACCTTGCCCAAGAATCTTTCAAACGCCGGGCTCTCTGTAATGAGCAGAATCGCATGCACAGAAACCTTTCCAAAAGCGCCACACCGCGTTGATGGACGTTCATACGACATCGGAGTGCGTGCGGAGCCGTGTGCTTGCTTCCTCGCTCCGTCACCGGGCAATCGTCCGTGTACCCTGTGGACGTCGTAGCGAACTGCACCGCGGCGGAGCCATAGCTGGGGACCGCTACACAATCGAGAGTATCGAGCACACATGCCGTAATGCGGCTCGGATCCCCTGCTCGAAAACCGGGCAATGCAACATTGCCTCACTCTACTGATGCAGGCAGCGGTAGCAGCAACAGATGGGCCCGGACGCAACGCCCGAGCGGAGTCGGGAAATCTGATTCCAACAGCTCCCGTAACTCATCTAGCAGAGTTCGGGGGCGAACAGGTCAGCTCACAAGCGACTCTATTTCCGAAGCCAGTGCCAAGAAGCTCCATGATGCATTGCTCCAAGCTGAAGCAGAACAAACGACAGACTGGGTACGAACGCAGCACGAGGTACGATCAGTGCAGGGGAAGGGTCGGCGAGATGCTGTGTCTACACTGCATGTCCAGTGGGACCTTGAGAGAAGTTCCACATCCATCTCGTATGTTTGTTTTCTACTTTCGTAGCACCGACCGCGCTGTCAAGCTTACCAGCTTCAAGTATTGTACATGTAAGAGGATAAGAATACACCAACATGTTTTTAGTCATGGGGTTCCGGAGGGAAGGGGGCCGGGGACGTAGGACGACAGGTTAGGAAAAGACTCGCGTGGCCTCTTTCGTTCATCTGCTCTTGTGCTACAAGTAGCATGATTTTTTCTCTGTAGTGGGTTTTTACCCTCTATCCGGACTCCCCTCTCTGGCCCATTGGGGCATGCCACGAAATAGTCTAAGCAAGATATTCGTCCATACAATTCTCTCTCCATGCCTCTCCAAGTGCCATTATTCTGATGGACTATTCTTCCTCCAATATCACATGGGTGTGTATCCCGATAAACCAGTCTATCCAACACAACACGCGTTTACATACAGACTCCTTCACCACGAACGTATGCCCTGCGCTCTTCCGGGCCCTTGGATCAGGCGATCAACCGCGACCTTGCTCTCACGGCAACACGCCTGGACGGTGCGGACAAGCTCCTGAGCGAGTCACCGGCTACTTCTCTCCGGCACCTGACTACTGTCGCCACCACGACGGCTGGCATCGACAAGGCAGGGGAGGGCGGCCTGGCAAACACTTGGCCAACCGCTCGCCCTTCCAGTATGAGGATCGACGGTCAGAGAACCCTCCTCTCCAGGACGACGCCTCCCCACCAAAAGAAGGTCGCCAGGCCTTCTGCTGCGAGGTTGCCGCGCGACAAGGTATTCGAACGGAGTATAAGAAAGTTGCTTTCGTTCTCGGGTTCCGCGACTGCCGTTCTATTCCGATGACCGACCATTGAGCCAAACCAAGGAGCATAAAGGACAGGTCCTACACAGTCAGCGTGAAGGTCACGACGCCGACTATGTGTGAAGAGCACAGGTTTAGGTGCTGCCGGCCCCGGTATCTTGCGACAATAACCACTGTTGCTATTTCTACGGGCAACGACTGCGGTGGGAGTAAGTCCAAGCGGTATTAGGTAAGGTGGAAACAGCCACAACACTCTGGAGTTGTATGCTTGGGGCATTTAGTTCGAGCTGCATCTTGGTTGCGCTATTTATTGTTTATTCTCACGCGAAATTTCTGACGGAGATTATGTCCGGGTTTCACAATGTTTCCTCTGCAGGAATCTGCCGCACGGCGAATGGGGTCGCTGGAAAATTTTCTTCAGCGAGCGCGAACTGTAATGGAATTGCAGGGAATGCACTCCGATACGCTCAGGGAGTTTCTGTTGCCTTCTTCCGTGGCCAACCCCTCGGTATGTGCTGTTGCGGTTCAATTGGTCAAAGCTGCTGCTGCGCAGCAGCAGCAACAACAACAACAACAACAACAACAACAGTAAACAACCGCCGGTGGGGGAAGGGCATTTCGACAACAGTCCAAGAGTGTCAGAAATCTACAGCAGTGGAAACGTTGTCCGCAATCGTAGATATTTAGAGCATAAACCGGCCAATCGCGGAGGTTGATGATGTTGTGTGCTTTGTGCTGGGAGCGTTTCCCAACCCGAAAGTAGTCAGCCCAGGGGTTCGACGCGTGCGGGAGTGTTTTCTTTGCAAGTCTCACTTAACATTCTCGCTTTCAGTCCCTGATAAAGGGCCTGTTCTGAGCCCACATCCGGTGGACCTTGGTGCAAACCACCACATCTCGCGTTAGACACTACTTGGTAAGTTTTGAACTCGTTGTCCTTCATGAGGGGCAGGAAGGGTTCGAAGAGTTCCTGGTGCTAGGGAAACATGCGTCTCGATGACGGTTGACGAGTTATCAGTCACGACGGTCGAGCCACCCGCTTCCAACAACGAAGGTTTCCCAATTCCAAACGGGCACTTGTTTTCACTTCGCGCATGGTTGCTGTTGACTTAGTCATCGCCATCGTATTTTCTGGTGCCACAGCTTGTCCAGAAAACAATTGTGCTGACCTCCAACCATTACGCTTAGGCATCGCTTCGTTCGGAACCATGACGAACGTTTCTCCATGGTCCTTCCTACATACGTTTCCTTCTGTGTACTCTTCCATCGACGCGTAAGCAGCAGGAGACGTCTACCAACATGGTCCGGAGCTGGGAGGTGTTCAAAGTCCTCACGCTTGACCTAGGACTGCAGCTCTCCGAAGGCGACAAACAGGTTGGTTCAGTGCCGATAGAAAAGGGTATCACACAATGCTGTCCCAGGCGTTTTCTTCTACTGAAGAGGTGTCCGCTATTGGCGACGGCAAGCCATTGCTTCCCGATCATCACGCCAGCCGGCACTAGGCTGTGTTTAGCTTCCTCGGAATTTTGTTTTAGGACGTTTTAGCCGCAACGCCAACGTTTCTACCTGTGTCTGACTCTCGGCGACGCTCCGTAGCTGATATCGGCGCGGTTTGGAGACGGGGAGGACGGCGGCAAGGTAGACCCGGATGCCCTGCTGGCAGCCATCGCGCTCGATCATCCCGAAACGGGCGGTAATGCCGTCTCCACAGCAGCAACCCCGCCCTCGACAGCAGTCCCTCCTAAGACTGGCGGAACGATGACGCTCGAACACAACGCCGATCCTGGCCATAGCCACAAATGCCGTCTGCACCGAAACGAAGGGGCACAGGCGGCAACAAGTGACGTGACCAAACGAAGCTGGGCCGACGGTAAGGCTGGCGTGGACGAGTCGAGGGTAGACGCAGGTGTTCCAACGAGGAAGGATCGAAGCGTTGACGATTCGGAGCAACCCTCGGGTCATGTCTTGGGAGACCCCGAGGGAGGCGATCCGACGGATCAAGCTCCCCCGGCCTACGAAGATCTGGTGATGCAATCTCCTAGGATCGAGGGCAAAGGTCCGGCGGGGGCGGAGGCGACAATAGAAGAGATCGCTCTACGAGCGGAACGGAAATACTCAGGAGATTCCTTGAACGAGTGGGACGATATCAGAACTAGAGATCGAAGCGGGAACGCTGCGGGAAGCAATGATGGCACCCGTGATAAGGCCGCCGCCGCCGCCGCCGCGAGGGAGGCCGCCGCGCTCCAAGAGGAAAACGCCAAGCTTCGGTCGGAGCTGGAAGTGTTCGACCTCGGCTTTTTCGAAGAAGTCGAAGACCTCAAGTACAGCTACGCGTCGCTCCGGCGGGAGGCCGACAAGCTGGCCAGGAAGCAAGGCATCCTAAGCCTGTCCAAGTCGTTGGACTTGCCTGAGGAGGGGGAGGAGCCGTGGGATCGATCTGTGGACATGGCCCATCACTCGGTGGACTGGGCAGAGACGGCCAAGAATCAGAGGACTGCCGCGGGGAGAGGCGGCGGCAGCCCCAGGTCGCCCCCCCGAGGAACCCACGCCGCTCGTCTGGCGAGACGATGGGACTTACTTTCGTCCGGCGTCGCCGCCGATGTAGAAGAAGTGGGGTTCCCCGTCGGATCACCCACCCGGGGGCACGGAGGAACCATCCCCGGGCGTGTAAGCGTTGCCCCAGGAGAGGGGAGGTATCGCGGTGGTGGGATTGGAGGGAGGGGCGAGGCGTTTGCCGTGACCCCGCACCCGCAGCGCGGGCTGATAGCCGCTCATGAACGGAAGCTGGCGTGGGAGATCTCTTGCGGTGGCATGGGATCTCTGGCGCGTCTAAGGGAGAACACCGGGCGGGTAGGCCCCGCAGCGGCGGTAGCAGCAGAAGACGGCTTCTGGTCCGACGAACAGGTGTTCCTCGCGCTTCGGAACTCCGGGTACGCGCTCGAGCTGGAAGACGTCGCCGTCCTGAGGACCGGTCTGGGGAACGACGCCAAGGGCCGGGTGGACCTCGAGGAGTTCATGGGCATGTGCGAGGACATCGCTTCGGTGGAAGAGTGGTACTTGCCGCCTGGTTCCGCTGTGGCGGCAACCGTCGCTGGCGGGGCGAACGGGGGGTCCCCGGCAAAAAGAAGCGGCGGCGGCGGCGCATTCGCAAGCGGTTCACTGCCTTCTGGCATGCTCTTGCGAGAGCAAGGAGATGAAGTGCTGGGAGAGAGACGAGCTGGAGGAGGAGGCGGATTCGAACCACCGGAACGAAACTCAAGAGGCGGAGGACTTCCGTCTTCAACCAACGGAGTAACATCCTTCCCCGTCTCTGCTGGCCAGGTACCACTCGAGACGCTCTATCTGGGGGGAACCGTCTACGGGGAAAAAAGTTTCCTGGAACCTACCAAAACCGTCGAAAGCGTACTCGCAGAGCTGAAAGACCAGCTGTCGCTGCTTGACATTGATCACCTTTTTCCGGCGCGGGATCACGGAGCCCGTGGTACTGGAAGCGGTGAGGTTGCTGTCACCACGCTCGGGAAAGCCGTCGGCGCCAGGTTCAGCAGGCGAGACCCGACGCAATCCGGGCTCTTGAGCGCGAGAGAGGTAGGCCTTGCGCTGGAGGACGTTGGGGTGTGCCTTCAAGCCGACGAGGTCATCACCCTCGCGAAAAGGTTCAAACCTCCGGTAGGGGGCCCACAAGAAAGTCGGGGAAGCGGAAACGATCGTTCGAGGAGAAGAGAGGGTTACGCATCTGGTGCTGCGACTGTCGTTGATCTCGACGGCGGTGGGCTTGACGGCGTGGTCGCGGAGTATGCGCCACTTGTTCGGCTAGTCGTGGATACCCTCGCGGAAGCTAGCGGGGTAGATTCCGCTGTCGGGGGACGGGTCAGGCTGGGGCAGAAGAAAGCGAAGTGGAACGAGCGGATGCCAGCGCCGGCAAAGCGTCTAAGATCTGCCCTTACAGCGGGGAGGGGGAGAGGTGGGCTGGAACGGCTTCGGCAGAGGTAGGTGTAATCCCTGTGTTGTTGGTGCCGATGTTCATGGTGTGGTATCGGTGGAACTGAGGCGGAAAGCCTGCTTTCCTCTAGTGTTGTCGTCGGCGGTTCACCATTGTGGCACATTATGGGTCTTGACCTCGCCGCATTACGGCACAATAGCCGCTTTTCGCGGTCACAGGAGGCGTTTTTCCTGTCACGGGCCGCTTTTCGTTTCAAAAGTTAACCTCACGGGTTATCTCGCTCCACCCTCTTCCACCTCCTGCGACCGAAAACAGGTTCCAAGATTTCGACATCGACGGTGACGGGTGTCTAGGCAGGCGGGAGTTCGTGCGGGCCCTGAACCTCGCGCTGGCGTGCGAAACGGGGGATGATAGCGACCCATCCCCTTACTTCACGGTGGGAGGGGTGCTGTCGGAGCAGGAGGCTTCGGAGCTCATGGGCCGTCTCGACAGAGATCGGGATGGCAGGGTATCCTGGGAAGGATTTGTCGAGTATTTCGCTGACGCGGTACACGGCGAGGAGGGAGGGGGTCGCGGTGGTGGGCATCCTGAGTCTTGGTTCCAGCTGGAGGTGGACATCGCGGAGAAACTCCTCCAACAACTTGAAGCCCAGGGAGGGTGTACAGCGAGAAGGGCATGGGTTAATAGCCTCAGACGACGGTTTCAGACGGCTGACATCCACGAAACTGGGACCCTAAACAGGTACTGCACATACAACACCTTCCATCCCACAGACCATCGCAGGGGGAAGCCGGGCCCCATGCCCCACCCCCTGCCGTCCGCCCCGAATGTCCGTTCGTCCCTTTTACCACTCCGTCTTACCACCCGTTCCTTCCTCTTCCCTTCCTACCCGACGTTCCCTCTTTTTTACGTGTCGTTCTTCGCATCCCCCCTTCATCTCGGACTGTTTGTTTTCGGGGCCTGGCTCGTGACCTGCGTTGCTGTCGGTCTCAGAGATGCGTTTTTCCGGTGCCTCAGAAGCATGCACGTTTCGCTTTCTGCAAGGGAAGGTGAGAGGCTGTTCCTGTCCCTGCTGCCGACAACAACAGACCCCACGCGAGGCGCGAGATACCCCGAGCTGGTCAACTTTTTGCGTGGCAAGAACGCTAAGTGGTACGACGTCGAGAGTGACATCGCCGACAAGGTGGGCTCATGTTCTTGTTGATGTGACCATCTTTCGTGGCCTACTTTGAGCTCTCTACCGACAGTACTGGACTGATCCAAACAGCTTCTACGGCCACTACGGTTCCAAGTGGTAACGCCGCGCAGATGCGCAAGTTGGCATTGAAATTTCCAAACGTCTGAGTCCAGTTTTCACGTGGGTGTCCAGTGCCAGAAGCCGTCAAAGCCATCAACTAGTAACAGTGCTCTCGCCCCGTTTGAACAATCGTCCGAGGAGCGTGAATAGCGCACGCACGACGTGTTTGTTGCCCTAACGCACGGCGGCTTGCATCAACAGTGTCATTGGTTCGCCCCACTCAACCCTTCTCTTCTCATTTGCCGCATCTACTGTATGTAGATCCTCACAGCCATGGGACCGGATGGTCCCTCTCGTCGAGCATGGCTCAACCGAATACGGAGGCGTTTCATGAGCCTGGATGCCTTTCGGGCCGGGGTGCTAGGGGCTTCTGATCTTCTCCAGGTATACTACTTGCCGTGCTACTACCACTGGTGCTACCCTGTGTCTAGTGCGGGATGCTAGTTTCAAGTCAAGGTCTCTGCTGCGTCTATGACCATGCACGACACAACGTTGATACTCTTGCCTTACCCGCCGAGGCTGCATGATCGATATTTCGTAGAAAAATGACGTACACGCTTTCTCACATCACAATCTAGTCTACGTCCTTCCCGGGGTATTTTCCCACCTTCGCATAGGCCCCCGCGCTTGGAATGATTGCGTACGTAGCCACGGTTTCTGAAATCGCGCCAAACGAGGCTAGAGCCAAGCCGTTCACGTAGCCATTATGACATATTGTATAAGGCACACTTTTCCCGCTGTCTGACCTGTGGTGGGATTCGACGACCTTATCTCTGGCGACCTGTGCACCGGTTGAAGGCTCTCAAGGAAGGAGGGTGCTACCTGGGGTTAGAAGAGGAGGCAAGGCTTCTCGACGCCTTGGAGACGGAAGAGTCCGCCAGGTAAAGACTTCCGATGAGAGTTGTTTTGGACGGGGCGATGCCAAACATTCGCAAACCTTCTGTGGAGAATAGATCCCCCGGGGGATCTAGTGGAGGTAACACACAATAGAGCCCTTGGGGGGGGGCTCCGGAAGCGCCCGGTGAATCCAGGCTACATTCCAACCGCTATTATTGCTGGGTGTTTTCGAATTAGGGTAGTTCTTGGGTTAGGCGTGGCAAGAGTTGTGCACAATTGCTTTATTGCCACGGTTCTGTTTTCATGTTGCCCGGGTATCGAAGTGCCGAGGCGCTACCTCGCTCTTTCTTCTCTTAACACCACTTCCTGCAGTTGGGCGCCGTTGACAGTTGGCATTTTCTCTGTCGGCTTGCACTTTCCGTGGCAACAACAACAACAACCTGCCGATGTTGTCCTCACTCTCCATTCCGTGCAATGTTTCCCTATAGTTATGTTTTGGTGTTGGAGGGGCGTGGGCTACAACTCGGCGTGATTACCCCCCCTACGGCTCCATTCTCGCCGACGGACCCTTTTGTCACTCATCAGTGTGGATGTGATGTTTCTTCGTAAGCAGCAGAGACGTAGTAAGAGAAGCGGTTGTGCGGTAATATCGGTTGATTGATTGAGCAGGTTCGACACTGAAGGGGGGGTGTCGTACCGAGAGCTGCTGCTGTTCTGCGCGAGGCACGCCGGGAAGTGGAGCGAAGGCCAACCCCTGCTGGCCGAGAGGCTACGGGAAGCGCTACGGAGTCAGGTAGCTGTTGGTGTTGTGCACTACATTCTCTGGACATGCACACGTCGAGCTTGTTTTTTTTTATTCTGTGGTCAACATCGCTAGACATTCGAAGGATTGAGCGTAGTGTTGAGAGGGTCCTGCCGTACTGTAAAGTGATGCTTTCGGCGTAGAGAGTGGGTATAAATATTCAGGATGGTGTGTTTCAGCACATCTTACTTTCTACAGCATTTATTAACCACCCCTTGGTGTAGAGCCTGGTCCGGTGAGAATCCGGCGTGCTCCGTCCCGGCTTTGTAGGGATGCGAGGTCAATGGTCTAACGACTACGGCATGCACGACTATGAGTACACCCCTCCCCCCCCCTTGGTGAGATAATGCACCCAGGCAAGGATGCATGTACTTGGAGACTTTGCTTGATCGTAGAGTTCAGGATGGAAAACAAAAAACGAATCCTAGGCAAACATTCACCCACACACTCTATGTTCAGCGACCCCCGTCGTTCACCCTACCCGCACGGTGCGCCACCCGACCCGACGTGATTGCAACAAACATAACTGTACACCCCAAAGGCGAAAACTACAGCCGACGTGCGGAGGCTTTTTCGGAGGCTGGACGATGACGGCGACGGTTTCATCGACCGCAAGGACTTCAAGGTGACGGCAGTATTCAGTGCTTCTTCGTACCAGACTAAATAAACAGGGGAACTAATCTCACCATGAATGCTCTGGTTGGTGCTTGTGTTGGCACGTGATCCTTACAGGGCATTATAAAGGCTGGTATTATCTTGCCGTACTTTTGAGGTATTCTGGGCACGCCCGGCTTGCTTGAAGTGGGAGGGCGATCTCATGCGGATCGTGTTTCAATAGGGCGCCTATTCATGTGGCTCGCAACAGCTTCAATGATAGTGGCGACCGGAACTGTTGGTTCTGAGGGTATTCAGGGTTCGGGAGCAGTAGACGTATGTCGGAAAGCACTGTTCGGGCAAGTTTGGGTGTTGCCACAGGACCCGTTCCCCCCTTCTCATGGGTATTCGTTGGAAAGGCCAAATCGAATAGACGCCTCCGAAAGAGCTGTGTTTGACATCGATCATTGCGCTGTCAACCACCCGACCCGCATGCGCCCAATCTTCCCATGCCGCCGTTACCGCTGGGGCACAACAGATCGGACTCCACAGCTTAGGTTTGGGGTTCGTCACCAGGGATGAGCAAGAGGTGGGTCGTACAGACCGAGATGAAGTTTGGGGTGAGGAAGAATGAACTACACCAACGGAGAAAGGGACGTGCATCATCGACTACATTAGTGTCGATACCCAAGCTCCGAGATTGCTGTTCTACGCCACTTGAGAGCTTGAGCGGGGAATAAGCGTTTGTGCGGTGTCAACCTTGAAAATACCGGTTTCAAGACGACCAAAAATCATTCCTGACCACCACGGCACATGCCTCCGGCCTTCGTGTGAAGCCTCCATACCGGAGGTTATGGTGTACAGTATCACCGTGCATGTTTGGTTTTCGTGCTGGGCGTCGGCAGGTGAGGTGCATTGTCCAAAGCCGCTCATTGCGCAAAGTATCATCTTTTTGTTTTCTTCGCGACGAACACCTCAAGCTTCAAAGGGGTAACCTGACCGAAGTGAAATTGCTTGGGAACGCATGTGTTTTGGTGTATCTCAAGTAGGTATTCCGCACTACCGCGCGCGACACAGGTGTTGATGGACGCTCTTGACGCCGAGGGTTCGGGCAGAGTTCGGTTCGCTGACTTTACCTCTTTCTTCATGGACTCCGACCCTTGGTTCAGGACCGATGCAGACCTGGCTGAGAGGTGCCAGTACTTGATGTTGTGCTTGAGTTTGTGGTTGTTCGTTGATGTTGTGCTTGAGTTTGTAGTTATTGTTATTGTTGCTGTTGTTGTTGTTGTTGTTGTTGTTGTTGTTGTTGTTGTTGTTGTTGTTGTTGTTGTTGTTGTTAGTGTTGTTGATGATGGCGGCGGTGGTGGTGGCGGTGCTGCTGCGGACATCATCGGCTTGCTTCAGCTCTCGCGTTAGGGTACAGTTGAGTCTTCCCCAGAATCTCGACGTATGAAGGAAGCAAACTTCGGTACAAGTTCGTCACACTCAGACAACATTCTTGACGGCATCGTTGCTACCTTTCCGCGGATCCTCGAAGAACTCAGCTTCACGTCGCACGTTCAATAATCGACCGTTGATAATCGTTATAACAAATAGGGCCATTCTTTAAAGCTGCTTATCTAGGGTTTACAGGGACCCTCGCCGTAAACCGGAATCCCGATGTCTTTGCTTCATCCTTCAGGCTGTGCAAGAGCTTCGAAATATCCGGAGATAGTGGGGACGACGGCGATGGCGGCGGGGACGGTCCGGGGTCGGTTCTCTGGAGGTTCCGCGAGCGGTTCGTGGCTGCCGACCGGGACAAAACCGGGTTTATCAACCGTGCGCAGTTTCGAGCGGTTCTTGCAAGCCTCCCGGGAACCCAAGATCTCACGGTGAGAACATGTTGACGTGGTCAGTAGTTTCGTGACGGCTGTTGAGGTTGCTATCGCTGTCGGCGATGTTGGTGAATCTGCTGGTGGCACGTTCCGTACACTGGAGTCCATCCAGCTCCTGCCACCCGCCTCTTCTGCTGCTGGGTGCCGAAACGAAATCTATTGAAGCGACCCGGCTTATTTTTTCCGGAAAGCAAGGACAGCGAATTTCGAACAAACAACGGCAGCGCCTAAGCAAAGAAAAGATCGGCGATGGCGCTGGCCCCCTCGCTGGCCCCCTCGCTGCGTCGGCCGCAACTACGTTTTTGTCGGTTTTGCTTGACAACCAACAAGGGTGGCGTTTTGGGTTAACATCATCCTGTGCGATGCGTTTTAGCGTACCGCCCGTCGTGCACCATAGGAAGATAAAGACTTCGGGCTTAGATATCGTTTTGGTGCTTTACTCCAATCACGCTGATGCTGCTCGTCGTGAGAAGGTAGTGCTGCTCTGTCCTGCTGTATCCATTGTTGTAGGGTGCGGTTGTTCTCTTCAATACAAACGCTAGCCTTTGGTAGCCTTTGAAGTGTCTCGAAACGTTCGGCGAAGCCACATGACACAGGTCACATAGAGCAACAGCTCGTGCCTTGGTGACCACGAAAACGATATGGTAGAGGAAGCTGGCGCCTTGCTGTTGTACTGTGCATGTCTTGCTGTTGTAACCTGTGGCTTTGCCAGTCACGAACATATGCCAAGGCGATAGTCTGAGCAAGTCGAAGAGAAACGAACACAATGAGCAATACTTTCGAGACAGCGCGGCCGGGTGGCCGAAATCCCCATTCGCCATTGGCCTGGCCGACCGAACAATATTGAGCAATGTTGTTCGCAGGAGGATGAAGTGGATCGGTTGAGCACGCTTTTGGACGACCAAGGAGACGGGCGAGTGAGCTACCGATCCCTTCTTGATCTGCTTGTGAGGCATCTCGGAGACTGGCACAAGCGTATTCCGAAGGTATCGTTGTGGACAATGTGTTAAAAAACGATGGAACAGGGTGTGGCCGCGAAATTCGTCACTAGCCCCGAAGGCATCCATTCCTTGTGTTCTTTGGTGTGACCCACCGCGCAACTGAGCATGCGGTGTAGGACGCTCCCCCCGTTAGCGTTTTCTGACGCCTTCCCTCCTTTCGTTAACGGGTTTGGGCGTTGCGTTCGTGCCAGACCTAAAGTTGTTTAGTTTCGACCAACCACCGCTGACCAAGGGAAAATCACCCCCTTGTCTAGGTAACCATCCGATTCTGGCTTTGCATCCGATAAGAGGGAGTCGGCAATCACACGTTGGTGGTGTCCATGACATGGTCGAGGGCCTTTGCTGCAGATTGTGCGAGACAGTGCGCGATATGTATGTAAAACCTGTTGCCGATGAAACAAACTGGCTTTGATGTGTACGGGAAGGTATCAAGTATGCATCATTCATGGAAAACCGGGGTCACGAAGAAATAGATCTTGCTTACCCCCCTTTAATGCACTTTTGACACCCACGGGTCTTCTTCCCTGATCTCTCTGTTGTTATCGCTGCCTGACAACGTGTTTTTCACTGTCCTTTCCCCGCCACAATCCAGGTGGCCTCAGAGCTGTCGCTAGCGCTTCAAAATACTCAGTACGGCCTCAAGGCCTGCGTGGAGAACTTATCCAGAAGGTTGAACATCGCCGATCACAAGTCAACAGGGAGGCTGCCCCCCTCGACCTTTACAAGGTACGGGCTTGAACTCTCTTCTTCGGGAAAAAGGTATTCCATTGTGCGGATGTAGTTGATGTCCGGCAGAGTAATCTACAAAGAATCATTTTCACCGATGGCTGACGTTTGTCGGTTTCGAAGCAGAAACAAATGTCACGGGAGGGCCAGGTGTACTAGGATGGAACATCTCGTGATAATGCGATGTCATCCTAGGCAGAAGAGTGAATGAGGCTCATTCCTTCGCACTCCGCTTGTGCCTTGCCTCATTGCCGATGCCCTCCAGGAGCTATTGCGCTATACCTTCTCCTCAGAACTGATTTCATCAGTTCCGCCCACTGGGCACCCCTTAGTGGTGGGAATGTTTTAGTTGTCCTTAAACTTTTCGCCTAATAGATGTTAACGCTTCCGAGCGGATGTTCCGCGTGAAGGTGATCACGCACATGGACAATCAATCATCCACGGTCAGGTGTGTTGTGTATGCATTCCAGAGTGACCGCTCGATGCTTGACCTGCTCCAAACTTCAAGGGCATCCCAAGAGCCAGTACTGATCGCGCCTTTCTCTTGCGTACCGCGGTGTTGTTGTGTTGACATGTGGTATTTCGTTTGTTTTTCCCGTTGCTGCCGAGTTGCTGCCGACCGGCATCGTCACGTTGCCAAAGGATGCTTCCTCTTTCTCTATTCTCTCTATTCTCTCTATTCTCGCTACTGGGATAATTCGTTTCAGTGCCTACGGTCTTGAACGCACCATTCGTTGGTGTCCTTGGCCTATCTGTCAGTGTCCACTACCCATTCATGTTTCGTCTCAACACTGGCAACCGCACTCGTGTCTCGCAAGGCTAACAGAAACATCCGTACGGCGAGCCAGTCTGGCCCTAGCGCCCGACCACCTACGCACTTCTGGAACTGCACCCAACCTTTAAAAAAACATTTGGCGCTTCTCCAGGTGTCTCCGTAGCGTAGGCCTATCTCTTGCCCCCGAGAGCCTCGGAGAGATGGTTTCCGTACTGGACGCGTATGGCGATGGGCTCATTCCCATAACACCAGTTCTGGAGTTCCTACGAAGAGAGGCAGGAATTTCACCGGAAGGGGGGGACATGCAGCAACAGGTGTGAAGAATGCAAACACGCCGCCACGTCAACGCCGCAGTTGTTTCTAGGAAGAGGGGCGTGGGTTTTGGGGGTCCGGTCGTCCTCCGGCTGAAGAGGACTACGCCAACAAGTGTGGGGAATGTTATTGGTTAGGGTAGGAAGGACGACCCGGTGGCGTGAGAGTACCACTTGTTCCGATCTGCTGTTGATCGTTTTGTATGTGACAGCCGTAGTAACCCGCCACTCACGTTCGGGAGTGAATACAGAGCCACCGTGCATGGTTGTCCAACTGGAGTATCGCCCGACGCGTATGGGAAACCCTTAACATAGCTGGCCCGCAGTAGCATAACTCAAGGATTAGACGCCGTCCAAAACGTCCATGAGACACTTCGCGGAACGCGAGGTATGCAAGAGGGTGTACCTGCCGGATGTTAATAACCAGCGCGAAGCGTCGGAAGTACACCGGCCATGTTCAAAACGTTCGAATGTTCCAGGCGATCGCTATATATATTACATCAAACAGTTCGTTGTCTGCTCAACAGAAACGAAACATTCACCCGTGGCAACAACGTCGTCACCATCACCATCAACAATCCGAACAGGCGGGCGGCGAAGTCGGGTTCGCGTTTCGTGAGGCTGTGCGGTCCCTCGCAAAGGCGGAGCAGCAGTACGCCAACAGCGAAGACGAGAGCGATGGCGGCGGAACCGGCGGATACGGCCACCCTGACAGGGACGCTGCAACGCCTAGAGGGGCAACAACCTTCAACAGAATTGCGGAACCGGGCGCCTCCGCAAGAAGTTATGATGGAAAAACGGCAAATCGGGCGTTGCTGGACACAGCAAGACTTAGACGAGAAAAAAGAGGCAGGACGAGCGGTGGGATCAGAGAAGAGAGGGGAGCGTGGGCAATCATCCCCTGGAGCGTGTGCCTCCGAAGGGTCTTCGACAGGAGGCTTGATGTTGACGGGGACGGGTTTCTGACGGAGGGGGACCTTGCGGCCTGTCTGCCCGAGATAGGAGTCCATGTGACAGGCCGAGGTATGCAACACGCGATGCACTCAGGGTAGACCTGCAAAATATTGCTTCAAAGCGCAATCCTTGGAAACAGTGCGGTGCGAAGATAGATTCACCGTCAGATAGCCCTTCGGAAAGTTTAATGAACAGAAAATATGGACTCTTGCATCTCACGAGTGAATCCTCCGGAATACGGAGCAAATCTGTTACACCAACGATATCGACGCACACGAGCATCTATCAATTGAACGACAGCCGAAGATTCGAAACCATGGCTCTTGCTTTGTGATGTCATGGTTGGTTGCTCCGGAGGGGAGTAGCAAACAGCGACTCATGCCGGCCTTTCCACATACAGGTTCGCGGTGTGCGGGAGTATTCATAGCCTGACGACCAGCGCCAAGTTGACATTGTCCATTTACTCCAGCCATTGCGCAGTCTACGATATTGCCTGGATGGGAGAAGCAAATACTCCATGCAACTTCTGTTTATCCCATCAAGATCGAGATTGTCTTTTACTCTCGCTCTCCGATGATAATTCATGTAGGAGAAAAAAATCGAAAGGTGGTCACAGCCGGCGAAGGTCATGGGTGGGACAACGCCGGAGAGTATGCGATGAGAGAAAGCCAGCCCAAAAGCTTGACGACTGGCTCTACTGGCTGTGGTTCTTGACGATGACGCTTTTAACCCGAACTTGCCGTCTTGCTCCTTCCTTGCATATGATGTGTTTTCTGACTCAACCGTGTGTCTCTTTGTAATTGCATGCCTTCCCTTCGTAGGTGCCGCAAGAAGCATGTTAGAGGATCATGGACTCCCCTGTTTGGTCGGTTTTTCGTCGTATTATTTGTATCTACGCTTGGACAGGTTCAATCACTTGACGTTGCTTCGTGCTTGCTCTTCAAACGCTGATGCGCACGCGCAGATGCGGCTAGAACGTTGCTGTCAGCCATGGACTTCCGGCAACGAGGGCTGGGCCAGGCGACGTTCAAGGACTTTGTGGAATTTGTGGGCACCAACGGCAGCAGCAGGCGACGAGGCGGCCGTTCACCTCCGCTCACAGCTCCATATTCCCCAGTCGACAAGAATGTTAGAAGAGAGGGGAACGTTGTAGCACGACCGGGAAGATGACAGACTGCAGACGTTTGACCGAAGGGGCAATGTTTATTTTTCGTTCGCAACCACCGTGGGAAGTGGCGACTAGAGCTTCAAGTAGTCACCACACCAGATATGTGATCATTGTATTCTATAAGGACGTAGGTTGTTCCTCGCTCTTGTCGATACCCACGCCGCGATTAAGGAACCCAGTGTGTGAGACACACATCTCGCTGTAAAGAATACGCCCTCCATAAAACTGCGCTGTTTCTCGACCTTCGGGTTCCCGTCACGCTCCCTCGTTTCATGCCATGGGTGGGTGCGCGCAGCGAACCAGCCTTGGCCCCGGCCAAACCAGTCTCTTGAGGCGCGTTCGCCTCGCACTTGGCCTGCCAGCCGCAGCAGCGTCTCACCAAGACCATGAAGATGGTAGCCAGGAGACCATCACCAGCAAAGACCTACGCCTTGCGATGGCGAGGCTGGATCCGCATGGGAGCGGGCGGTTACCCCTCTGGAAGATCAAGGCGGCCCTGCAAGCCTTCGGCCTTCGCGTGAGAAACGTGCCGCATGCCTCATGGCTGGACCTTACGGGAAGGTAGAGCAGAAGGAGTGAACCAGTTGTAAGCTTGAGCTTCGCTTGGGTGCTCATTGATGTAACAAGAAACGCCACACAGTGCAATATGTGTTTTCGCGCGAACTGGCGTTCCGAAAACACGTTCTCGCCTCCTGGCATTGGTTACCGGGAGCTTTGATGTTTTCGATAAGCCCCGCCTAACGTCGTGCAGCCTCGTCGCGCGCGCAATCGCACGTTGCGCAATGCAATCCTGTTGCGTCTTGCTGTCTCGATGCTACCACGATGTCACCTCCACATCCTGCCCATTCCTCTGCTTGTCTTACCCCTCATCCTCCAGCTTGGACCAAGACGCCTACGGGCATTTGTTCTACTCCGACTTCGTCGACCTGCTGATGCCGTCGGAACAGTCGCCATATCTATCGTCCCCGGACCCCCCTTTGGACCGCCGAAGGAGCAACGCCCACCCAGGAAAGCAGTCGATAATTCCCGCGGAGACCCTCGCAGAGAGGGGTACTGGGAGTGGGAATAGAGGCCGCAGCATCTATGGTGCCTTCGAAGGCGGCGAGAGTAGTGGTCGACCGGCCAGAAAAGGTGCTGGTGAAGACTGGCGATCGAGAACCTATCCCCCCTCGGCGGTATCGTCCGTAGCACCCGCATCAGGAAAGAGGCCGGCGAGACCCAGTCAGAACAGCCGGCCGAGCTCGAGATCCACAGGTACAGTAGGCGGCGGGAAGGAATCTAGTTAGTATGAGGTCATGGCAGTTGGTCGAGTGACAAGGCAGAATTCTATAGATCAGAACTTGTTCCGCGCCTGTGGTATTTGAACCGCCCGCCTCCCCCCCGGTGTCCCCCCCCCCCCCGGTGTTTGCCATCGGGGTTGGGTTTTCGTCGCTTGGCAACGACGTTGTAAAACAAGCCCATTCACTTCGTGAACTCGGCAACCAGGTTACCGGGGTTTTTTTTACCTCCGTTTTTTCTTTGGCAGTAACCATAATGGTGGTTGAGGAGATCATGTTGTGCGGGGTGGAGAACCCTCGCTCCGCGCAAGGGGGATGATCGCACCACGTTGTGTTAAAATGGTCAAGCACCCTCGAGGCAGATACACAGTGATTACAACTGTCTCTGCAAGTGAAAGCACCAGAAA